AAAATCTGTTGGGCTTTGCATCTAGTGTTTACGCTCTTCTGCATGTAAAGAAAAAAAGTATTTAAGACATAAAAGCAAGGGAGAGATGAAGATACATATGAACATGTCTCAGGCAAGGTGTAGCAAAGAAAGAAGGCCAGAGGGGTTTTCTGTCCATTGTGCACAGCCTCTCCGAGCCACCCCTGCCAAGCAGCTATATGATGAAGTGTTCTTGAACAGTCCTTTGTGAAATGAGAGCTTGTGCACACAAATTGACCAGAGGCATGCCTGTTAATCAGGAGCCAAGCAGAAAATGGATTACTTTTGCTAAGAATATGCTGGTCAGTTCCTAGGCAGGCAGGTCAAGGTGAAAGGCTCCTGCATCTACCAGGCCAGGTACAGTCCGAGGCAGGAGGGACACCCAGTGAATGATGCAATTTCCCCCACAGTGGTGACATGTCCTCACAGCTCAGCCCTCCCTCTATTCTTCTACCAGGACACCTGCTCCCCTTTCTTCATGGGGCAGACAGAGAAAGTACGTAGGGCTAAGCAGCATTGGGTATGGAGGAATCCCTGGCCTGACCACACTGGTTTTGGCTCTCTCTCTCTCTCTCTCTCTCTCTCTCTCTCTCTCTTCTCTCTCTCCTTCCCTTGCAGCTCAAATAACAAAGCACGTAGGTTTTTAAAATTATTATCTATCTTTAAAACTTTTTTTAGACAAGTACTTACTATGTGGCCTAGGCAGGCCTTGAGTAACTGAGATTACAGGCCTGCGCCACCATTACCAACTTGGATATATGTATGGCCCCTATAAGTACTTAGCATAAGAGAAACACTCCATTCCCTTCCCTTGACTAACTCCATTTGTCAGTGGCCTCTGACTGTCTATTCTATGCTTAACCCAAAAACAGAGAAACAGAAAACACAATTCCCTCACACAGGTAACTTGCAGTCTGGGGATGTGTGCCATGGTCCTTCAGTAACACAGCAGGTTAGAATATCTTCTCTGTCCTTACAGGTCTTGTGATGTCCTAGGGCTAGCTGCTGACCCCAGTGACCCTCACCTGATTCATCTATAGAATGAAACAAAGAAGAGGGTAGACTTCGGGGCTGGAGGTGGGGATGAGCAGTTCACCTGGTGATACTCAGAAGCCTGTGTGTCCTATGCCACGTGCTTGGTCATTATCTGCAGCCAATCATGTTGTGCGGGGGTGTGGACAAAAGCTATGCAAACAGCCAAGAGGAATAAAGAGAGGAAGGGGGACATGAACTGCCAGCAGTGTCCAACTTTGTCTTAAGAAGTGACATCAAAACCAAAATGGCTGCACAATGGTCATGGCCAGAGATCCTGCCACCCCTGATGCTGCACCCCTACCTGCCCATCTGTCTGCCCCATGAGACAAGGGAATGGGACACCTTGTAGAAGGGCAGAGCAGGACTGAAATGCCGCCAGGGGAGGGCATATTGCATCAATCTCTTGGTTCCCCTTCCCCTGCAAAGTTCAACTTGGGTGCAAAATGGTAAAACATCCTGCCTGGAACTGTATCCACCAGAAGGAACAGGTTTCCAGAACCTATTTAGCAAGGTTTGAAAAATATGAGTTTAGCCAGTGGGTGTCTATACCTGGACACTCTCATGGACGTACAAAATCTGTGACAACCTTGTGGTTTCCAGCTGTTGAACTTGCTGGTCTTCCCACCTCCTCCAGAGAACTCTCCTTTTTCTTAATAAATTCTCCTTGTTACCTGATCTCGGTAGAGCCCCAGCCCAACTTTCACATGAAGGCTGTGTTCTCTGGATTGATCATCTATCCTACACCCAAAGAAAATTATCTCCAATTCATTTTAAACTCATTTCTGACTTTTGACCCACAGGAAGTAGGAACAGTGCCCGGGACCATGTGAGTTAATTCACATTTAGAACAGGGCCTGCAGGACAGTGTCAATCATGATTTAAGAGGCAACACCCTGTGTTGGAGTCTGTTTGGGGATACATACTGGAAAATGACAGCAGGAAGGGACTTGGTGAAACAGAGCAAACAGAAATGTTCAAAGTCAACAGGAGAAAGTCAACAGGGTCAAGTGAACCATTTCAAGCCAAGGTCTGAGTTGGGCAAGTTCTAAGAGCTATGGCCTGGCTGTTGTCAGAACCACCCCCGCAGATCCTACGTTGGTGAATAACAAGTTCCAAACACCTGCTGGCTGTCCCTTTGCCCCCCCACCCAGGGACATGTCCTGCACATCCTGTCCTACCTGTGGTTCCCAAAGGATCTTGCCACCATCCCACCCCTTTCCTGTTGCTCACAGGGAGTCACCATGCCATGCTATGGAGTAAACAAAGATGGGCCTGGATCTAGAGGCATCACCAGAAGTGCAAGGCTTCTGGAACAACAGCTGGGATCAGCAAGCAGAAAAGAAGTCATCTAAAGGGGCTGGAGACATGGCTCAGCAGTTAAGAGCACAGGCTGCTCTTGCAGAGGACCCGGGTTCAGTTCTCAGCACCCCCATGGCTGCTAACAACCATCTATACTTCTAGTTCCAGGGGCTCCAACACCCTCTTCTAGCCTCCATGAGCACTGCATACATGTGATGTACTTACTACATGCAGCAAAGCATTCATACACATTAAATGCACATAAATAATTTTTTAAAATATTTTATTTATTATTTTTATTTTATGTGTATGAGTGTATTGCCTGCATGTATGTGAGTGCACCTATGTCGTGCAATGCCATGGAGGTCAGAAGAAGACTTTGGATTCCCCTGGAACTGGAGTTAAGGATGGTTGATAGCCACCATGTGGGTGCTGGGAATCGAGCCCGGGTCCTCTGCAAGAGGAGTCAGTGCTCTTAACCGCTGAGCCACCTCTCCAGCCCCATAAATAACTTTTTTTAATTTAAAAAGAAGTTGTCTAAAGGGTTCTCTTGGCCAAAATGTAACAAATTAACCATCAAAAAGGAAACATGATTATGGTTAATTAAGATAGGTTAAATCTCTCAAAAGCTGCAAGCCTGTAATAGCCACCAGGGTCCAGAACTATAAATGAACAAAGTCGAAATATTTGTAAGAAGAATGCAATGACTTCTATACATTTAAGAGGGAGGTGAAGCTGTGGATTGTGGATTCATCCTCTGTTCCTTGGGTAACTACACCACTGTGTACTATGCAGATTTGCCTAAGAGAAAACAAGGAATTGTGAATGGGCAGATAGTTCCAGAAAAAGCAGAAACCGTCCCCACACAGGAATCTTCCCACAGGCTATGCCCAGAGGGAAAAGGGGGCCACTAGGCTGTTGCAAGATATCAGGAAGAAACAAACAGGGCTGCTCAGCTCATCACCCGGAAGATGAGCGTGGACCATCCAGTGTGAAAAGACAGCACTCTGCCACAGGGAGGGCTCTGTGTGAAACCCACCAATATGATTCATTGAAGCCTCCTAACAACCATAAGGAAAGGACTCAACTCCACTGAGGCTCAGAGAGGTGAGAAGAAGCCAGCTGCTTCAGGCATCCCAAGCCCTCTGCCCACCACAGAGGTTTAGGAAAATGCTAAACACGCTAAGCCCTGGGCCTTCGGGAAGCACCTCTCTTCTCTCTAGGGTGATTCCAGCTCCTTTGGGGGAGATGGGAGATTGAAATTTTTTATTCCTGGACAAAGTGTGCTGCTCCGTCACCAGGGGTTACATGCTCAGACGATGACCCATCCAAATGGCTCTCCATGCTCTACGCACTTCCCATAGGTCACATGCGGTCAGCACTGACTGGTGCCATCACAAGCCAGAGGGCCGCCTAAGGCACTGCCTGACTGTTTTCCTATTTGATCTTTACCACCCTATCCTGGAAGGAAGTGACATTCTTAGCCTTATTTCACTGATGAGGAAACTGAGGCACAAAGAGGTTAAATGGATTAAGATTTCACAAAGAAAGTGGTAGAGGCAAGGGTTGAAACCAGAACTTAGTTCCTGAGACTGCACCTGGGAGGGGGCATGGTGTGTGTGTGTGTGTGTGTGTGTGTGTGTGTGGAGAGAGAGAGAGAGAGACAGAGAGAGAGACAGAGAGAGAGACAGAGAGAGAGACAGAGAGAGAGACAGAGTGAGACAGAGACAGAGAGAGACAGAGACAGAATGACAGAGAGACAGAGACAGAGAGACAGAGAGACAGAGAGGCAGAGACAGAGACAGAGAGAGTCTAGGGCAGGTCACACTTGTTCCCAGAAATTCTGTTTCTCCCAGCCCACCTTACATCCTTGATGCAGTTGGCTCAGCTTCCCACGCAGCAGGGCTCCCATGTCAAGGCAGAGTCCTGTGGAGTACGGGGTCTCCCTAGCATCTTCCCATGATATGTAGCTCCTGGAGAATCAGGCTAGATGCAGTCATAGACAGCTCCAGAAGAAACCAATGGACAAGTCCTGCCTCCTGTGGCCTGAATTTGTGAGATTGTCCTTTTGAGCATGGCTGTGGGTCCCCACAGGGACCTCTTATTCTGGCCCAGAATAGGAGGAAGACTGGACACAGACCTCTTGCCCCAAAGGTCTGGACCTCAACCTGAGACCCCCACTTGCCTCAGCAGCACCCATTCTGTGTCCTATCTTAATTCCCACTTAGGTGACCCAGTCAGCCCCCTGCACTTTCCCTCCCCCTTTTTGGATGTGAAACTGACAAATACATAGGACACACCTATATCCCCAATTCCCACCCCAGCCTCAAGGGCTCAGCTGTGTGCAGACCTCTTAGCTATAGGGCCAGAAATCCTGGCAAGATCCTGAGGCCAGGCTCTGTGCCAGGAGGGTAAGGCACTCCTCTGAGCCAGAGCCACTACTGCCCTTACAGATGTCAGAGGACTGGTCTGCAGACACACTAATGTGGATGAGCCCATGCTGAGTCACACTACCTGGACACAGCCTGTGCAGGAGGTGACACCCAGGACTGCTTGGGCCAGGAAGGGCTGGTCTGTTGTGTCCCTGGCACAGGGCGAGGCCCCTTCCTGCCCTAGTTCCCCGCCCCTCCTGGACTAGGGTTGCCACCCAGAGTTGCTTTTCTCCCTGGCGGGCAGGTACCGGAAACTCTGGTAGCTCTCCATATCCCAGCCACAGCTCCAGGAGCCCAAGATCGGATTTGGAGGAAGAGTGGGGAAATAGCAGCTGCTGGAGGCAGAGGAGACGTGGGTTCTGGAATCTGTCCAGGATGCTCAGGTAGAGGGGACCTGACTTCCCAACTGCCTGCAGGTGGGCAGAGTTGGGGGAGAACAGTGAAGGCCAGTGCCTGCCCCTGACCACCTGGTACAACAGATGGGAGGGGCAGGTGAGCCTTGAGAGAGGCAATTGCCAGGAGGGGAAACAGGCCCAGAGAGGGGAAAGCATGCCCTGGGAATGGAGGTGTACCTCAACCATAGCTGGCTCTCTGGATGGATGTAGGATAGACATTCTAAATTGAGATGTAGAGTAGACATTCTATATCCACACTCTGGATGGATGTAGAATAGACATTTCCTGGGAGGGAGGACCCATACAGTGCCCCTAGGGTCCTGAAGACATGTGCTAGGGGAGGGAGGAGAGAATGGAGGAGGGGAAGCTAAGTTGCTTCCCACTTCCTGTAAGGGAGTACATCCCCCAGGATCTACAGAGGGTGCTGAATGAGCGACTGCCTAGTGGGAAGCTCTTGGAATGGGCTCCTGCCTCCTGCCTCCTGGTCCCCATCCCCTTTTCTGCCCACTAAAACCAACGTGGTAGCTGAGCACCTCTAGCACCAGGCTATGAGCTCTCCTTGCTACATCTAGACCTCACAGAGGCTATGTGCTTTAGTACCCATCTGTCAGATGGGGAAACTGAGGCACAGGAGTGGAAACAGCTCACCTAAAGTTCTTGGTCTGAACTTGGGGATACAGGGTTTTAAGGGCCATGCACCTGGAAGCGTTCAAAGGTGGAGCACAGGGACCAGTGAGTGGCAGGACGGAAGCCACAGGGGTTGAACTGTCCTGCCCACACCTTTCATGGAGCTGAGGCTTAGAAAAGGTTGGGCTCCAGTGAGGAGCCATCAGCCTCAACCCTGTACCCCTCCGAACAGCCAGCAGAGCACACACAGCTTCTAAACCACTCCCAGCCTTCCTTGTAGGGGGCTGTCTCCAAGGAGAGTCCCTACCCAGATCATCACGCTAGCTTCTGGGAACCAATGTGGAGCAGGTATGGGACAGGTGCCTGCTCAGAGCACCTGGGAGGCAGGTTGGAAAGGACTATTCAGACCCAAATAAATAACTTACTGTGTGTGCCCTTTACCCAAGGTGTTTTGCATACCCTCTGGTAAACCATGCTTAGAAATGGCACTTCTAGCCTGCCATGTTGCAGGGGAAATGTCTCCTATTCAGAGAGATGGAGCAGCTTGCAAAGCAGTAAAACTTTTTCCTTACAGGTCTACTCTCTGACCCCCCGCCCAACCTGGCCCCTGGGCACTCTGTCCAGCCTGTCATGGTTGTGTCCTGTCGGTCACGCTCCATTTTCCTGTAAAGAAAATCAAAAAGGATTTTATATCCGAAGCTGGTGGGATAACTTTGAAAGAGCAGCCTCTCTGCTCTGGGCCTCAGTTTCCACACCTATCAAATGGGTGCATAACCTACTGTGAGCCCCCAGGGTGGTAGTGAATCTTCAGCCCCAGGCCTTTGGAAACAGTTGACTCAGTAAATGTTGCTTGCAGTAGAGGAAGCCTGAGGATTCCCCAACAGAGCACTGGGCCAGCCATGTGGTAAGCTCCCAGAGGTTATATGACTCAGGTCATTGGAGTACTTCAGATACCAGCTGCTGTGGTTGATGACAGATAGGATGCTTTCTTAGGGGTTTGGATCAGAGGGCTGAGCATCACCCTGGGCAGTGTGGATGTCAGCTCAGTGCCCAGCAGATGGACTTAGGCCTTCTCTGTTTGCTTCTCTGATAACTGCCATGACCCTGGTTAATATTTACTAACAGAGGGACCCGTGGCCCATCATTCCCCCTGCTTAAATACAGGCTAGGGCAGGGCTCTGTCTCAGCCTCGGTCACCACCCAACCCTGGGACAGTGAGTTGTAAGTATGCCTTTCCCTCAGGAGGGCTTAGAGGGGCCCCTGGGTCCCTGTACCTCCCAAGCCGGCAGCAAGCTGGGATCAGGGCAATGCAAGGTAGATAGAGCCAGTTGCACCTGCAGCACCTGGGCCTCCTGTCATCATGGGAACAGCAATCCCTAAGATCCTTTCTCTAGCCAAGCTACCTAACCAGTAGCTCCTGGTGAAAGAATACTGGGAGGACAGTGTCCGGCCCTGTTGCCTGGGGGAACAAGGTGCAGCCACAGCTATAACAGGGTTCCACGCACACAGCTCCTGCCCTTCTCGGGCCTTTCCTGCGCCTCTTCCAGCCTTTTTGGCACCTGTGCTGTGGGGTGTGGACCTCCTTCCTCTTCTGCAGATAAGCAAGGTAAGGCCTAAACAGCAACAGGAGCCAGGGCTCCCAGCCTGATCTCTCTAGCTACACCCAGGGCTGACCCACACACATGCTGGGGCCTCAGCCTGCAGGTCCTAGGGTGGCCTTCCAGATGAAATGATGTCTGAACACTCCTTGTGTCATGGGGCAGGGGACCCTACAAAGGACTCCACCATCGGGGACTACTGTGCTATTGTCATTTTACAGACAGGGAAATTGGGGACAGGCCAATAACCTGCTCCAATCATATACAGCACGTAGCCCAGCATTCAATCAGGGGCAGCTGCCCCAGACTCCATCCTCCTGACTCTGCCCACTGAGCCATCTTCCCTGCCCAGGGTCTCAGTCCTGGGAGGTCAGGAAGCCTGGACTAGCCTTGAAGCCTCTGACAACTCTCTCTGCTCTATTTGACCAAGACCTTTCTATTTCTCCCACCCAGACTTGTTCTCTGGAGGACTGGAGGGCTTTGGGTTTTCTCATGGGGTTTTGGAGATGAAGGCTGGACAGGTAGCTGCATTCTCATAAGGTGATTCTCGTAAGCGTCACTGTAGTGTTGGATGGACAAGGGACACTTCTGGGTGCTTTGCACATGTCTTCTCTGTACAACAGTTCTCTGAAGAAGCTACCTTATTCTCTCAAGGTAACAGATTCAGAGATGCTAAGTAACTGGTCTAAGGTCACACAGAGAGTAACAATCTGACCTCAAACCTGTGGTTTTAGCCACAGCAATGCAGCGTCTTGCCCTTTCACAAGACCATGTCTGTGGTCTTCTATTTTCAGTCTTCCAGCTTCAACTTTATACACAGAGAAGGGCTCCAGCCCTAGAACTAAAATGGCTAGGATTAACTAGTTCTTTAAGTAGCTGGTTCTATGGTTTTTCATAAGTTGCTTAGCCTGTTTGGGTCCCCGTTTTCCCATCCACAAAATGGGACTAATACTAATTTCTAAGTGAAATGACGTAGTGCGTATAAAACGGGGTTTAGTGAGTATGATGATGAGGGCTGGAGTGAATGCTCATGTTTGCTTAGCATATGACTGCAAACAGACAGCGTACAGAAGCCTAGAGAGGTGACGGGAAACGTGCCTGACTCAGAGGCAGGCACTGCATAGCAAGAGCCCTATTCTGTGCCCCGGGGACTTGGTTGCTGGCCAGATCTCAGGATGAGCACCTATGCAGGCATCCAGCTCTGAGGCTCCCACACCTGTGCTGGCTGCACGTGTCTGTGCCACACCTCTTCCTTCAAAGGTTGTTTCCACTCTGCAGACAGGAAGTAAGGCTCAAAGAGATGAGATCATTTACCCAAGGCCACTGTCAGTAAAGTGGGGGTGGCTGGGTGTCATCCTGGCCTGTTGAGTTCTGGGTTTCAACAGGTTGTAGCCTGCAAGTCTATTCTCTGGACTGCTGGGTGGCTGTGGGTTGATTCCTCTTTTTATGCTCCTGGCTGGAAATGGTGCTGGATGAAGTAAGGGGGAGGTTTAGTGATCTCTCCTGCCTCCTGGAGGCCAGTCCCAACAACTTCTGATGCCAGAACATCACTGTGCATGACCTCAGCTCCATGGCCTCTGTCTACACCAAGAGGTCTATAAACTACTTCCTCCTCTCCAGCTGGCCTCCCTGACTTGGGGTCGGAGGGACACACAGGCTGCCTCTCACAGAAGACTGGGAGAGAGCAGGTCTTTGTCCCAAGACTCAGGTTTGAAGGCACAGATTGGGATGTGAAATGCACCCAGCTGGATGCTTGAGACCAGTGTCAGGGCCTGTGACAGTTAGCTTCCATTGTCATCTTGATTGGGTTAAGAAATGCCTGGGGCAGTTCTGAGACATACCATGGGTACATCTGTGAAGAGATTAACAGAGGGGGTGAGATCTGCCCTGAAGCCCATAGGTTGGGCCAAATGAAAAGGTAAAAAGAGAAAGAGAGCTGAGCTCCAGCCTTCTTCTTCCTCTGTTCCCTCACCCTCTGAGCTGTGAGCCAGCAGCTGCTTAGGCTCCTGCTGCCCTGGAGCGGTCACCACCATGCCACCCCCACCATGAGGCATCTGTCCCCTCAAACCCTGAACCAAAATGAGCCTCTCCTCCCTTGAGCTGCTTCTCATCAGTGCCAAGAAAGGTAACAAACACTGGGCCCAATCCTGAGAGTGGAGACTCAGAAGCCTGAGCATATGGCTGTGTCAGTCAGTGTAGGAAACAAGACTCGCTCCAGGGCCTCAGAGTCTTCATCAAAGGAGGTGATGGAACACTGGGAAATGGATGGGAGCAGTGAGCAGCCCAACTAGGCCTCTCCCCTCCCCCATGCCAGACTTGTCTCCTTAGACCCCAGGAGCCCCCACAGTAGGAGGGCACCTCTCCTCATCCCTCCCTAAACAGAGACTTTTGGAACCAAGGGTCCAATGTCTAGGCTGAGGAAATAGCTCAGTCAGTAAAGTGCTTGCCACACAAGCTGAGAACCTGCTTTTGATCCCTTAGAACCCAAGTTACAAAGCAGGGTAAGGTGGCACTTGTGACCCCAGCATTGGGGAGGTGAAGACAGGCATATTTCTGGGGCTCACTGGCCATCTGGTCTAGCTGAACTGTCCTCTACAGTCATATGCACACATGTGTCCCAGCACAGAGAGAGAGAGAGAGAGAGAGAGAGAGAGAGAGAGAGAGAGAGAGAAAGAGATCCATGCAAGCGTCCTTCAGACCCATTCCATGAAGCTGGGTCTGTGAGGTTAGGGCTGTGCTGCTGTTAGAGGCCCAGTGAACAGTTATGACCCTGTCGGGCCTACAAGCCACAGCCTCTGGCTTTGTGGCCACTTGGCAGGCTCTGTCCCCACCCTGTGGAGGTCCAATGAGCCCTGCGAAGGTGGGGAATTTCCACAGGGCTCACCAAAATCCAGATGCATCTGAGAGATGGAAATCTGCAGAACTAAATTTAGTCTAGCACAGCAACTAGTTTAAGGAAAACACCAACATGTGTTATGTAACGTGCCATCACCCTCTTCGGAGTATTTACAGACAATGGAGGCCAGACAGCATGACGGTGACAAGAGGGAGGTTTTGTGCTTTGTTTTGTTGTCTCGTTAGAAAGATGCTTTCTAACAAACAGGCAAAACCCAGTGCTTATCCTCATCTTTCCCCCTCAGGATCTTACAGCCCAGATTCAAGGATGCCTTTTGTTCTACTAAGATGGTAATTTTAGTAATGGGTGTGGAGACTGCGGCTTGCTTGGTAGAGTGCCTGTCCTGGGTTTTGGTGGTGCACACCCATCACTCCAGCACTTGGGAGCTAGAAGCAGGAGGATCAGAAGTTCAAGATTATCCTGAGCTAGATAGTGAGTTCAAGGCCAGGCTAAGTTACATGAGACTGTCTCAGAAAAAAAAAAAATGGTGAGTTTGGTTATGGAATGACTATCTATGTGGCATAGCTGATCAAAAATTCCCCATAGCTGTGGCCTCAGTTTCCCCATCTGTAAAGAGGGGGTTGAACTTAGGGGGCTGTGGACTGCTGGCTCCTGGCATATCAGCGTAGAGGCAGTTCTGTGGAGTAGAGTAGGCTGGGGCTGCAGGGCATGACTTTGAATTTGGTCATTTCTGGCAAGAGTCTGCTCTCTATGGTGCAACTTAGACCTTGCACCTCCTTCCTGTCTTACCTCAGCCATATAACGCATTGTCCTCCCCAAGGTTTATGTTCGCAACACCTGCCAGCTCCCCTTCGCAAGAGTAGACCCCTTGAGAGTCTATCCATGAAAGGTTTAACATTGAGACAGTTCATGAATTCTCCCAGCAGCCCCACTTTCCGTACAGGGCAAAAAGAGGATCAGAGAGTTTCAATGACTTGTCCTGGCTCCCACAGCTGGTGAGTGACAGAGGCCGCCCCTCTCCCATGTTAAAGGAGAGGTGAGCATCCCCTGACCCTCCAGAACCAAGACAGGAGAGGTGGCAGGCAAGCTGTTGGCAGTGACGTCAATCAGCCTGTCTGGTCACAGAGCAGAGTGGAGACAGTCACTTTCTCAGGAATAGCCACGAGGGTCAGAGGTTCCTTGTGGGAACTGAGTAGGGCCACCCCCCCCACCCCCGCCAGGTTGTTTCCTAACAGCCTCACTGTGTTCTCGCACAGTGCCGTTGCATAAGCGACTTCTCTGTGCGCAGACGGTTCCCAGCCATCAACATTTCTCCTCCCCTGTGAGCGTCACCAGGGCCTTCACCACGCTCTCCCTGGGGACCAAGGTTCACACTCACGCCCAGATCCTGGAAGCCCTCCACAGGCTATTCCAGCTCCGAGTGATTCTTGATCCAGACTGCCATCACCCTTGTAATTATGGGCAAGTCCACATCTCTGCCTGGGCCTCAGTTTCTTCCTTGTAAAATGAGGCTGAGGCACTTGTACCTCAAGATCATTGCCGATGGGAATGAGGCTGTGGAGAGTATGGGTCAGGAACTAGCCACCTTCTAGGTAACTGGTTATTTTTATTTATTAACCTTGAACATGTTTCTTAACATTTTCATCAGTAAACTAAGGTTAAGAGTCTCCTGACAGGATTGTGACAGGAAACGGAGTTCATACATGTGAGAACTCAGAACAGTCTAGGCAGACGGAGAGCACCATACCCCATTTTGCTGCTTCATTTTCTTTTCTTTGCATGTATGTGCATTTACATGTGTGTGGGTACACATGTATGCATGTGCATATGGAAGCCCCAAATTGATGTTGGGTGTCTTTCTCAATCACTTCCTACCTTATTTATCAAGGCAGGGCCTCTCACCAAACCCGGAGCTCGGGGACTCCGACTAGCTAGCTTCCAAGCTTGACCCTGAGATCCCCTGGCTCTACCTTCTAAGTGATGGAGTTACAGGTAACCGCTATACCCACTTTTTATGTGGGTTCTGAGTACCTAAACTCAGGCCCTCATTTTACACAGCCAGTACTTTATCCAATAAGCTACCTCCCTAGCCCATTAAATTTGCTGGTTTTCTTATATTCTTCAATGATGGCTGTTTAGAGAGGTACTTGGTCTAGGCTGGGCACCAGGCAGGTGTTTAATAAACTATGCCTGTTTTTCATGGTGCCAACTGGTGGTCTATGGGAGTCACCACAGCCCTGACTTACTGGGGGCTTGTGTCCCTTTCTGTGTCTTGCAGGACAATGCCATCCTCCACCTCATGGGGGCTCCTGTTGCTGGCAGGCCTGTGCTGCCTGGTCCCCAGCTTGCTGGCTGAGGATGCCCAGGAGACAGACACCTCCAAACACAATCAGGAGCTCCCAGACGGCCACAAAATTGCCCCGAACCTGGCTAACTTTGCCCTCAGCCTGTACCGGGAGCTGGCCCATGAGTCCAACACCACCAACATCTTTTTCTCCCCTGTGAGCATCTCCACAGCCTTTGCCATGCTCTCCCTGGGGACCAAAGGCAGCACTCAGACCCAGATCCTGAAGGGCCTGGAGTTCAACATCACAGAAATAAAAGAGGCTGAGATCCATGACAGTTTCCAGCACCTCCTCCAATCCCTCAATAGGCCAGACAACAAGCTTCAGCTGACCACAGGCAATGGCCTGTTCATCCAGAATGGTCTGAAGCTGGTGGAGAAGTTTCTAGAAGAGGTCAAGAACCATTACCACTCAGAAGCCATCTCAGTTAACTTTGTAGACTCTGAAGAGGCCAAGAAGGTGATTAACAGTTATGTGGAGAAGGGAACCCAAGGGAAGATCGTGGATTTGGTGAAAGACCTGGACAAAGACACAGTTTTCGCCCTGGTGAATTATATTTTCTTTAAAGGTAAGATGGCATAATCATCTTGATATGATTCCCATGGAAACACCCAAATATATTCTCAAAGGACCAATTCCTGAGCCCTTTCTGGCAGCCCACTCTGGGCTGTGCCAACCTGTCCTGGTGCATTTGTCACTGTCCTGTGGGTGAGCACTGAAATCCTTCCCGTCATCTATTAAGCTTGGGAATGATGGATTCAAAAGTCGAATTCATTAATTTCTTTGCAGGACTAGTCTGAGCCTTTACTGTCCTAATGCACATTGAAGATTCCTACAAGGGAGGGTCTTAAAATATGCAATGTTTCAAACCAGGTGAGGCGGTGCACGCCTTTAATCCCAGCACTCGGAAGGCAGAGGCAAGCAGATCTCTGTGAGTTCAAGGCCAGCCTGGTCTACATAGTGAGTTCCAGGACAGCTGGGGCTACAGGGAGACCCTGTCTCAAAAAGACAAAAACAATATGCAATGTTTCTCCAACCTCAGAACCCACTGTCACAGACTATGTGAACACAGTACTGTTCCACAGAATATGCTTTGAACGGCTCTTTTTTTGGGACAAGTGTGAACTATGGAAACATGAGCTCAAATCCTTCCACTATGGCTCATCAGTCTTGACACTGGATAAGTCATTCTACCTGTCTGAGGTGTGACTGTCCATCTTGTCATGGACAAAGCTGCCCCACTGCTATGAGGTGATGAATTACACATGAGTAAAGTTATACATGGGACGGTGTGGGGCACAGGCACCTGATCAACTAACCTTGACCACAGGCCTGCTCTCCAGACTGGAAATGGTTAGGACTCCACCCTATAGAAAGCTTCTGTGCCCCTAGGGGAATAGCCTGGGAAGGGGCTGAGAGTGAAGCTAGAGACTGTGAGTGAGCTGCTCCTCTCCACCGTGGCTCCCTTCCCCTGGGCAGAGTCCCACAGAGCACAGCTCCCAGGCCACAGCCAGCATACCTCAAGTCCAAGCCTTGCTAGGACACAGGGTAGGTGCCAAGCGTTCCCTCAAGCCTTCACTTCCTCCTGTGTGATGAGAAAGTGGAATGAGGATCCCTGAGACCCCTGTCCACCCTGATGACCTTGATGATGGGTCCCTGAGACCCCTGTCCACTCTGACGACCTTGATGATGGGTCCCTGAGACCCCTGTCCACC